GGACACGGGGTGACAGAGGGGTGACACACGGGTGGACACGAGTGGGACCCTGGGGGACACGGGGGACACGGCAGGACCTCGGGGGACACGGGTGGGACACAGGGGGTGACACAGGGGGTGGGACACGAGTGGGACCCCGGGGGGACACGAGAGGGTGACACAGGGGGTAGGACACGAGTGGGACCCCAGGGGTGACACGAGGGGGTGACACACGAGTGGGACACGAGTGGGACTCCGGGGGACACGAGGGGGTGACACGGGTAGGGACACGAGTGGGACCCCAAGGGTGACACTGAGGGGTGACACAGAGGGTGACACATGAGTGGGACCCCGGGGGGACACGGGGGGGACACAGGGGGGTGACACAGGGGGTGTGACACGGGTGGGACCCCGGGGGGACACGGGGTGACACGAGGGGTGGCACACAAGTGGGACACGAGTGGGACCCCGGGGGGACACGGGGGTGACACGAGGGGGTGACACAGGGTGGGACACGAGTGGGACACAGGAGGTGACACGGAAGGGGCTCGCGACCCGACGTGACCCCCTCCCGAGCTCCAGCGCGACCCCGGCCCGGCGGTGACGTCACCCCCGTCTGGCCCCGCCCACGCGTGACGCGATCCCTCGGTATGACCAAATTAGGGCATGAGGAACGCGGGCCACGCCCCCCAAAAACGGGAAAGGGGGACACAGCGGAATCTGGGGGACAGCATGAGAGGGACAGAATCAAAGGCGAGTGGGATAGAAATTGGGGGAGGGAAATTGGGAGGGGGAGGGGCTGCACAAAACAGAGGGGGAAAATTGGGGAGGGGGGTGGGCACAAAATTGGGAGTGGGGAAATTGGGGAGGGGGCAGGGCTGGGACAACAAAATTGGGGAGGGAGAAAATTGGGAGGAGGGGGGGCACAAAATTGGGGGAGGGGAATGTGAGTCGCTGGGAACAAAATTGGGGAGGGGGAATTGAGAGGGAGAGGCTGGACAAAATTGGGACCAAGGAGAAGATGGACACGGGGAGTGCCACAATAGGGGGGCACGTTGAATGGGGACTGGAAAACGAGGACAGCACCTGGGGGGACACAGAAGGGGAGCACTGAGAAGACCTTGGGAGCTGCGGGTGGGGCAACTGAGAAGATTGGTGTATGTAAAAATTGACATTGGGGGTACTAAGAAGGGGCAACTGAGAAGACTAGGTAGAAGAGCTGGGGCAATTGAGAAGCTTGGGGGTATCAGAAAGGGTGGGCACTGAGAAGATTGGGGGCACAGACAGAGTGGGGGCACCCGAGAAGATTGGGGGTATCAGATGGTGGGGGGCACTCAGAAGGTTAGGGCCAGAAAGGGTGGGAGACAATGAGAAGTTGGGGGCACCAAGAGGGGGTGACACGGAAACCAGGGAAGCCTGCGGGGCTAAGACTGTGAGTATCAGAAATGGGCACACGAGAAATCAGGACAGGCGGGTGAAGCACCCGAGAAGACTGGGGCGCCAGCAGTGCTGGTGGGGCACCGAGAAGATTGGGGGTCAGAATAGGCATGAAGTGAACGAGAAGACTGGGTTACATTATAAAAGCATTGGGAGGGTCAGAAGAGGGGACACTGGAGGAGACTGGGGTGCCAGAAGGTAGGAGCTTGAGAAGATTGGGGTGTCAGAAAGGGGTGGGGGCACTGAGAAGATTGGGGGTGCCAGGAAGGGTGGGGGGCACTGAGAAGATTGGGGGGTGTCAGAAAGGGTGGGGGCACTGAGAAGATTGGGGGTACCAGGAAGGGTGGGGCACTGAGAAGATTGGGGGGTGCCAAGAAGGGTGGGGGCACTGAGAAGATTGGGGGTACCAGAAAGGGTGGGGGCACTGAGAAGATTGGGGGTATCAGAAAGGGTGGGGGCACTGAGAAGATTGGGGGTACCAAGAAGGGTGGGGGCACTGAGAAGATTGGGGGGGTGTCAGAAAAGGGTGGGGGGCACTGAGAAGATTGGGGGTACCAAGAAGGGTGGGGGCACTGAGAAGATTGGGGGTACCAAGAAGGGTGGGGGCACTGAGAAGATTGGGGGTGCCAGAAAAGGGTGGGGGGCACTGAGAAGATTGGGGGGTCAGAAAGTACACTGAGAAGATTGGGGGTCAGAAGGGTGGGGGCACTGAGAAGATTGGGGGTACCAAGAAGGGTGGGGGCACTGAGAAGATTGGGGGTGCCAGGAAGGGTGGGGGCACTGAGAAGATTGGGGGGTGTCAGAGAAGGGTGGGGGCACTGAGAAGTTTGGGGGTACCAGAAAGGGTGGGGGCACTGAGAAGATTGGGGGTACCAAGAGGTGGGAGCACTGAGAAGATTGGGGTCAGAAGGTGGGGGCACAGAAGAAGAGTGTGGGGGCACTGAGAAGATTGGGGGTGTCAGAAAGGGTGGGGGGCACTGAGAAGATTGGGGGTGTCAGAAGGGTAAGCACTGAGAAATTGGGGGGCACCAGAGGTAGGGCACTGAGAAGATTGGGGGTGTCAGGAAGGGTGGGGGCACTGAGAAGTTTGGGGGTGTCAGGAAGGGTGGGGACACTGAGAAGTTTGGGGGCGTCAGAAAGGGTGGGGGCACTGAGAAGTTTGAGGGTGTCAGAAAAGGGTGGGGCACTGAGAAGATTGGGGGTCAGAAGGGTGGGGGCACTGAGAAGATTGGGGGTGTCAGGAAGAGGGTGGGGCAACTGAGAAGGGGTCAAAGCAAGTGTGGGGCACCGAAAGATTGGGGCTACCAAGAAGGTGGGGGCACTGAGAAGATTGGGGGTGTCAGAAGAGGGGGAAGCAACTGAGAAGTTTGGGGGTACCAAGAAGGGTGGGGCACTGAGAAGCCTTGGGGGTTGTCAGAAAGAGTTGGGGGCACTGAGAAGTTTGGGGGTACAAGCAGGGTGGAGCACTGAGAAGATTGGGGGTGTCAGGAAGAATTGAGAAGATTGGGGGCCAGGAAGAGTTGGGGGCACTGAGAAGATTGGGGGTACCAAGAAGGGTGGGGGCACTGAGAAGATTGGGGTGTCAGAAGGGGTGGGGGCACTGAGAAGTTTGGGGGTGTCAGAAAGGTGTGGGGGCACTGAGAAGATTGGGGGTACCAAGAAGGTGGGAGCACTGAGAAGATTGGGGGGGTCAGGAAGGGTGGGGGCACTGAGAAGTTTGGGGGTGCCAAGAAGGGTGGGGGCACTGAGAAGATTGGGGGTGTCAGGAAGGGTGGGGGCACTGAGAAGATTGGGGGTACCAGAAGGGTGGGGGCACTGAGAAGATTGGGGGCACCAAGAAGTGAGGCACTGAGAAGATTGAGGGTCAGGAAGGGTGGAGGCACTGAGAAGATTGGGGGGTGTCAGAAAGGGTGGGGGCACTGAGAAGTTTGGGGGTGCCAGAGAAGGGTGGGGGCACTGAGAAGTTTGGGGGTACCAAGAAGGGTGGGGGCACTGAGAAGATTGGGGGTCAGAAGAGTGGGGCACTGAGAAGATTGGGGGTACCAAGAAGGGTGGGGGCACTGAGAAGATTGGGGGTGTCAGAAAGGGTGGGGCACTGAGAAGATTGGGGGTGTCAGAGGTAAGAGACTGGGGGTACAAGAAGTGGGGGCACTGAGAAGATTGGGGGTGTCAGAAGAGTTGGGGGCACTGAGAAGATTAGGGTGCAAGAAGGGTGGGGGCACTGAGAAGATTGGGGGTGTCAGAAAAGGGTGGGGGCACTGAGAAGATTGGGGGTGTCAGGAAGAGGGGGGGCACTGAGAAGATTGGGGGTGCCAAGAAGGGTGGGGGCACTGAGAAGTTTGGGGGTGTCAGAGAAGGGTGTGGGGGCACTGAGAAGATTGGGGGTACCAAGAAGGGTGGGGGCACTGAGAAGATTGGGGGTACCAAGAAGGGTGGGGGGCACTGAGAAGATTGGGGTGTCAGGAAGAGGTGCACTGAGAAGATTGGGGTATCAAGGGTGGGGGCACTGAGAAGATTGGGGGTACCAGAAAGGGGTGGGGGCACTGAGAAGTTTGGGGGTGTCAGAAAGGGTGGGGGCACTGAGAAGTTTGAGGGGTACCAAGAAGGGTGGGGGGCACTGAGAAGATTGGGGGTGTCAGAAATGGGGTGGGGGCACTGAGAAGATTGGGGGTATCAAGAAGGGTGGGGGCACTGAGAAGATTGGGGGTATCAAGAAGGGTGGGGGCACTGAGAAGATTGGGGGTGTCAGGAAGGTGGGGCACTGAGACTTTGGGGTGCTGAAAGGGTGGGGCACTGAGAAGATTGGGGTGTCAGAAAAGGGTGGGGGCACTGAGAAGTTTGGGGGTGCCAGAAAGGGTGGGGGCACTGAGAAGATTGGGAGGTGTCAGAAAGGGTGGGGGCACTGAGAAGTTTGGGGGTGCCAAGAAGGGTGGGGGCACTGAGAAGATTGGGGGTACCAGATGGGGGCACTGAGAAGATTGGGGGTGTCAGAAAGGGTGGGGGCACTGAGAAGATTGGGGGTGTCAATAGAGTTGGGGGCACTGAGAAGATTGGGGGTACCAGAAAAGGGTGGGGGCACTGAGAAGATTGGGGGTGTCAGAAAAGGGTGGGGGCACTGAGAAGATTGGGGGTGTCAGAAGAGTTGGGGGCACTGAGAAGATTGGGGGTGTCAGAAAGGGTTGGGGGCACTGAGAAGATTGGGGGTACCAGAGAAGGGTGGGGGCACTGAGAAGATTGGGGGTGTCAGAAAAGGGTGAGGGGCACTGAGAAGATTGGGGGTACTCAAGAAGGGTGGGGGCACTGAGAAGATTGGGGGTGTCAGAAAAGGGGGTCACTGACAAGTTTGGGGGTACCACGAGGGGCAAATTTAAGGCCAGGAGTGACAAGACCCTTGCGTGGGGGTGGGGGTGGGCTTGGGGTGTCTTTGCGTGTCCCCTCCACGCCCACCCCACGCGAGCCAGAGCTGCTCTCACTCTCTTATTCCCCACCCCCAAATCCCTTCACCCCTGAGCCGTGGGGTGGTCCTGAGTGGGGGTCCCTTTAGAGCAGCGTGGCCACCTCGAAGCGCTCCGAGCGGCACCCACGGGCGCCCACCTGAGACTGGACCCTCCTCGCGCCTGAGCCCCTCGGGGGTCGCTCTGTGGGGAGGAGGAGGAGGAGGAGGGGCGTCCCAACGCCGACAGCGACCTCACGGGGGCTCTGCGGGAGACACGCAGGGTCCGGCCCACTGCCGCGACCCACGGGGCGGGGGGTGGGCAAAGCACGGGTGGGGGCGCGGGGGCGGCACTCACGGGAGGGGGCGGTTGGAGGTCCCGCAGGGGGTGGGGGTGCTGGTGATGGTGGTGATGGTGGTGATGGTGGAGGAGGAGGAGGAGGAGGAGGAGCCGGGCCGGGCGGGGGTCGCGGGCAGGGCGGGGGTCGCGGGCAGGGCGGGGTCGCCCCGGTAAAGCTGCAGCTCCTCCAGCAGCTCCGACTCGAGAGAGAACTCCGCGTCCCACTGTAATTCTCGTCCACGGAGGGGTTTCTCCTGGGGGGAGGGTGGGGAGAGGGGCGAGGCCACGAGGGGTGAGACCCTCAGGGTGGGGGTGACACCCCAGGGATGGGGGTGAGACCACCAGGGTGGGTGTGAGACCCCCGGGGTGGGGCTGAGGCACCCGGGGTGGGGGGGAGGCACCCGGGGAGGGGGTGAGACCCCCGGGGTGGGCATCAGGAGAGACCCCAAGGAGTGAGACCCCCGGGCTAGGGAGGCACCTGGGGAGAGGGTGAGACCCCGGAGTGGGCATCAGGAGAGACCCCAAGGAGTGAGACCCCAGGAATGGGTGTGAGACCCCGGGGTGGGGCTGAGGCACCCGGGGTGGGCATCAGGAGAGACCCCAAGGAGTGAGACCCCAGGAATGGGTGTGAGACCCCCGGGATGGGTGTGAGACCCCCGGGGTGGGCATTAGGAGACACCCCAAGGAGTGAGACCGCCAGGGTGGGTGTGAGACCCCCAGGGTGGGTGTGAGACCCCGGGTGGGGCTGAGGCACCCGGGGTGGGGGAGGCACCCGAGGTGGTGTGAGACCCCAGGGTGGGTGTGAAACCCCTGGGTGGGTGTGAGACCCCGGGGTGGGGGTGAGGCACCCGGGAGGGGTGAGACCCCAGGGTGGGCATCAGAGAGACCCCAAGGAGTGAGACCCCAGGGTGGGTGTGAGACCCCCGGGGAAGGTGTGAGACCCCGGGGTGGGCATCAGGAGACACCACAAGGAGTGAGACCCCAGGGATGGGTGTGAGACCCCCGGGGTGGGCATCAGGAGAGACCCCAAGGACTGAGACCCCAGGGATGGGTGTGAGACCCCCGAGGTGGCTGTCAGGAGAGACCCCCGGGGAAGGTGTGAGACCCCTGGGGTGGGCATTAGAAGAGACCCCAAGGAGTGAGACCCCAAGGATGGGTGTCAGGAGAGACCCCAAGGAGTGAGACCCCAAGGATGGGTGTCAGGAGAGACCCCAAGGAGTGAGACCCCCGGGGTGGGCATCAGGAGAGACCCCAAGGAGTGAGACCCCAAGGATGGGTGCCAGGAGAGACCCCAAGGAGTGAGACCCCAAGGATGGGTGCCAGAAGAGACCCCAAGGAGTGAGACCCCCGGGGTGGGCATCAGGAGAGACCCCAAGGACTGAGACCCCAAGGATGGGTGTCAGGAGAGACCCCAAGGAGTGAGACCCCAAGAATGGGTGCCAGAAGAGACCCTCCAGCCTTCCCCAGCTCTCACCTCTTGGCCATGCCCAGGAAGGTGCCCCCCAGGGCCGGGGCGAGCGAGGGGGGTCTCAGGAAGGATCCGCTGCCTCGGCCGCTGCTCTGGCTGGTCAGGCTGCCCCGAGGCACCTTCTCGGGGGGAGGGGGCTCAGTCCGAGGGGGGCGCAGCAGGGGCCAGGCGGGCGAGCCGGGCAGCGACGCCTTGAGGGTCCCGGGGCAGCAGGGGGCTGCAGGAGGGTGGTGGTGGAGGGGGCGTTGGCACTCGTGTCGATGCAGTCCGGGCACGGCGCGGGCGGGGGCTGGCGGTGGGAGGTGAGGGGGTCGCCAGCGCGGGGTCCCCGGGCTCTTCCTCCTCGTCCTCCTCCTCCTCGTCCTGGGGGGGCCACTCGCCGTCCACGCACATCTCCTTGAAGAAGGGCAGGCTGAGGTACTGCAGGATCCCGCTGATGGCCGGGGGGGGCTCGGGGGGCTCCCGGGCGGGGCTGTAAGGCAGGATGGTGGTGCTGGTGGTGGTGCTGGTGGTGGTGGGCACAGGGCTCACGTCGATGATGCACAAGGAGCCGGCCCCCTCCTCAACCACGGGGCTGCTGCTGTTGTTGCTCCCCCCGTAGCCGAAATAACGCCCGTGCCGGTGGTCGCCGGCTCGGCGGGGCTGCCCCGTGGGGTGGGGGCGCAGCGAGACCCCCCTGCGCCACACGGGCTCCTCCTCCTCCTCATCATCCTCATCATCCTCCTCCTCAGGGGGCTCCTCCGCGGGTTGAGGGGAGGGGTCTCTCTCCAGCACGAAGCGACCATCGGGGCCGCGGCGGATCCGCTCGAGGGGCAGCAGCTCCGGGCCCGGGGGGCTCTGGCAGGCCGGGAAGGGGGCACCGGCGGCGATGCTGAGCCCCAGGCTGGTGCCCGCCTTCTCGCCCCAAAGCAGCGCCCGCTGCAGGCTCTGGCACGGCGAGGGTTGCGGCTTCAGCTTCGCGGGGCTGCCGGGAGGGCTGGGAGGGGACAAAAACACGCACACAAATAAGGGACAGAGCCGGGGGGACAGCCGGGGGACACGCCCGACACCCCCTTCCCCCCGCGCCGATTGCTTTGTGCCCTTCTTTGTGTCCTCCACCCCGCGCCGATTGCTTTGTCCCCTTCTTGTGTCCCCCCACACCCCACACCACCCCTTCCCCTCGCGCCGATTGCTTTGTGCCCTTCTTTGTGTCCTCCCACCCCACACCGATTGCTTTGTGCCCTTCTTTGTGTCCCCCCACCCACACCGATTGCTTGTGCCCTCTTGTGTCCCCCCACCCCCACACCGATTGCTTTGTGCCCTTCTTTGTCCCCCACACCCCACACCGATTGCTTTGTGCCCTTCTTTGTGTCCCCCCACCCCACACCGATTGCTTTGTGCCCTTCTTTTGTGTCCCCCCACCCCACACCGATTGCTTTGTGCCCTTCTTGTGTCCCCACACCCCACACCGATTGCTTTGTGCCCTTCTTTGTGTCCCCCCACCCCGCGCCGATTGCTTTGTGCCCTTCTTTGTGTCCCCCCTTCCCCTGCGCCGATTGCTTTGTGCCCTCTTTGTGCCCCCCACACCCCACACCGATTGCTTTGTGCCCTTCTTGTGTCCCCCACCCCACACCCCACACCGATTGCTTTGTGCCCTTCTTGTGTCCCCCCACCCCACACCGATTGCTTTGTGTCCTTTCTTTGTGTCCCCCACCCCACACCCCACACCGATTAGCTTTGTGCCCTTCTTTGTGTCTCCCCCACCCCACACCGATTGCTTTGTGTCCTTCTTTGTGTCCCCCACCCCACCCCACACCGATTGCTTTGTGCCCTTCTTTGTGTCCTCCACCTCACACCCCACACCGATTGCTTTGTGCCCTTCTTTGTGTCCCCACCCCACACCGATTGCTTTGTGCCCTTCTTGTGTCCCCCCACCCCGCGCCGATTGCTTTGTGCCCTTCTTTGTGTCCCCCTTCCCCGCGCCGATTGCTTTGTGCCCTTCTTTGTGCCCCCACACCCACACCGATTGCTTTGTGCCTTCTTGTGTCCCCACCCCACACCCCACCCTGGATTGCTTTGTGCCCTTCTTTGTGTCCCCACCCCACACCCCACCCCGATTGCTTTGTGCCCTTCTTTGTGTCCCCCACACCCCACACCGATTGCTTTGTGCCCTTCTTTGTGTCCCCCCCACCCCACACCGATTGCTTTGTGCCCTTCTTTGTGTCCCCCACCCCCACACTGATTGCTTTGTGCCCTTCTTGTGTCCCCCCACTCCCCGCGCCGATTGCTTTGTCCCCTTCTTGTGTCCCCCACACCCCACGCCGATTGCTTTGTGCCCTTCTTTGTAGTCCCCACACCCCACACCACCCCCTTCCCCGACGCCGATTGCTTTGTGCCCTTCTTTGTGTCCCCACCCCACCCCACCCCACCCTTTCCCCGCGCCGATTGCTGTGCCCTTCTGTGTCCCCCACCCCACGCGCCGACTGCTTGTGCCCTTCTTGTGTCCCCCACCCCACACCGGATTGCTTTGTGCCCTTCTTTGTGTCCCCCCACCCCACACCGATTGCTTTGTGCCCTTCTTTGTGTCCCCCACACCCCACACCGATTGCTTTGTGCCCTTCTTTGTGTCCCCCCCTTCCCCCCGCGCCGATTGCTTTGTGTCCTTTTTTGTGTCCCCACCCCCGAGGCCAAAAATGCCCCTGTGGGCAGGTTCTTGTGTGCCCACACCCCAGACACCACCGCTTGCCCCGCGCACGATGGCCTTGTGTCAGCTTCTTTAGTGTCCCCAAGCTGTCCCCAAGCTGTCCCCAAGCTGTCCCCAGATTGCTTTGTGTCCCCTAGCTGTCCCCAAGCTGTCCCGATGCTGTGCCCTTCAAGATGTCCCCACCTCAGAGCTTTGTCCCTAAACTGTCCCCACGATGCCCACCAAGTTGTCCCTAGCTGTCCCTGCTTGTAACCCCAAGATGTCACACCGATGCTGTCCCCATGCTGTCCTCCTATCCCGCGCCTAGATTCCCCAAGATGTCCCTAATCTGTCCCCGAGGCCAAAATGTCCCGCAGGAGTGTCCTGGCTGACACCCAGAACACCGGTCATAATGGCCTTGGGTAGGGCTGGGGGTGTCCCCAGGATGTCCCCAAGCTGTCCCCAGGTTGTCCCCAAGCTGTCCCTAAGCTGTCCCCAAGATGTCCCCAAGATGTCCCCAAGCTGTCCCCAGGTTGTCCCTAAACTGTCCCCAAGATGTCCCTAAGTTGTCTCCAAGTTGTCCCTAAGCTGTCCCCAAGTTGTCCCCAAGTTGTCCCTAAACTGTCCCCAAGCTGTCCCCAAGATGTCCCCAAGCTGTCCCTAAACTGTCGCCAGGCTGTCCCCAAGCTGTCCCCAAGCTGTCCCCAAGGCTGTCCCCAGGCTGTCCCTAAGCTGTCCCCAGGCTGTCCCCAGGCTGTCCCCAAGCTGTCCCCAAGATGTCCCTAAGTTGTCCCCAAGATGTCCCCAAGCTGTCCCCAAGCTGTCCCCAGGCTGTCCCCAAGATGTCCCCAAGCTGTCCCCAAGATGTCCCCAGGCTGTCCCCAAGCTGTCCCCAGGTTGTCCCCAGGCTGTCCCTAAGCTGTCCCCAAGATGTCCCCTAAACTGTCCCTAAGATGTCCCCAAGCTGTCCCTGTGCTCCCAGCCAGTGGTAGGTGAATCATGGGGAGGGCAGTGGGATGGGATGGGATGGGATGGGATGGGATTGATGGGATGGGATGGGATGGGATGGGATTGATGGGATGGGATGGGATGGGATGGGATGGGATGGGATGGGATGGGATGGGATGGGATGGGATGGGATGGGATGGGATGGGATTGATGGGATGGGATGGGATGGGATGGGATGGATGGGATGGGATGGGATGGGATGGGATGGGATGGATGGGATGGGATGGGATGGGATGGGATGGGATGGGATGGGATGGGATGGGATGGATGGGATGGGATGGATGGGATGGGATGGGATGGATGGGATGGGATGGGATGGGATGGGATGGGATGGATGGGATGGGATGGGATGGATGGATGGGATGGGATGGATGGATGGGATGGGATGATGGATGGGATGGGATGGGATGGGATGGGATGGGATGGATGGATGGGATGGGATGGGATGGGATGGGATGGATGGGATGGGATGGGATGGGATGGGATGGGATGGATGGGATGGGATGGGATGGGATGGGATGGATGGGATGGATGGGATGATGGATGGGATGGGATGGGATGGATGGGATGGGATGGGGATGGGATGGGATGGGATTGATGGGATGGGATGGGATGGGATGGGATGGGATGGGATGGGATGGGATGGGATAGGATGGGATGGGATGGGATGGGATTGATGGGATTGATGGGATGGGGTGGGATGGGATGGGATGGGATGGGATGTGGGATGGGATGGGATGGGATGGGATGGGGATGGGATGGATGGGATGGGATGGGATGGATGGGATGGGATGGGATGGGATGGGATGGGATGGGATGGGATGGGATGGGATGGGATGGGATGGCATGGGATGGGATGGGATGGGATGGGATGGGATGGGGATGGGATGGGATGGGATGGGATGGGATGGGAGTGGGATGGGAGGCAGTGGGATGGGAGGCAGTGGGATGGGGTGGGATGGGGAGTGTGGCATGGTCAGGAGTGTGGTATGGTCAGGAGTGGGATGGGCATGGGAGTGTGGCCATGGGGTGGCAGGACAGGCAGTGTGCCAGGACAAGTGGGACAGGGAGGGAGCGTGGCGTGGCAGGACACAGAGGGGACAGGGAGGGTGTCATGGCCACAGCAGGGGTGACACTGAAGGAGCATGGCATGGCCATGGCACGACACAGAGGGGACAGGGAGGGTGGCATGGCCATGGCAGGGGTGACAGGGAGTGTGGCACGACCCAGAGGGTGACAGGGAGGGTGGCACGACCCAGAGGGTGACAGGGAGGGTGGCACGACACAAAAGGGGACAGGGAGGGTGGCATGGCCATGGCAGGACACAGAGGTGACAGGGAGTGTGGCATGACACAGAGGGGACAGGGAGGGTGGCAGGACCGGAGTGGGACAGGGAGGATCATGGCATGACAGTGGCACGACACAGAGAGGACAGGGAAGGATCATGGCATGGCCATGGCAAGACACAGAGGGGACAGGTAGGGTGACATGGCCATGGCAGGGGTGACAGGGAGGGTGGCACGACCATGGCAGGGGTGACACTGAAGGAGCATGGCATGGCCATGGCAGGGCACAGAGGGGACAGGGGTGACACTGAAGGATCATGGCACGGCCATGGCAGGACACAGAGGGGACAGGGAGGGTGGCATGGCCATGGCAGGACACAGAGGGCACAGGGGTGACACTGAAGGATCATGGCACGACCATGGCAGGACACAGGGGACAGGGATGACACTGAAGGATCATGGCACGACCATGGCAGGACACAGAGGGCACAGGGGTGACAGTGAAGGATCATGGCATGACCATGGCAGGACACAGAGGGGACAGGGAGGATCATGGCATGGCCATGGCAGGACACAGAGGGGACAGGGGTGACAGGGAAGGAGCATGGCATGGCCATGGCAGGACACAGAGGGGACAGGGAGGGTGACATGGCCATGGCAGGGGTGACAGGGAGGGTGACATGGCCATGGCAGGGGTGACAGGGAGGGTGGCAGGACACAGAGGGGACAGGGAGGGTGACACGGCCATGGCAGGGGTGACAGGGAGGGTGGCAGGACACAGAGGGGACAGGGAGGGTGGCATGACCATGGCAGGACACAGAGGGGACAGGGAGGGTGGCATGGCCATGGCAGGACACAGAGGGGACAGGGAGGGTGGCATGGCTGTGGCAGGGGTAACAGGGAGGGTGGCAGACACAGAGGGGACAGGGAGGGTGGCACATCAGGAGTGGCACAGGGAGGATCATGGCATGGCCGTGGCAGGACACAGAGGTGACAGAGAGGGTGTCATGGCCACGGCAGGGGTGACACTGAAGGAGCGTGGCATGGCCATGGCAGGACACAGAGGGGACAGGGGTGACAGGGAAGGAGCATGGCATGGCCATGGCAGGACACAGAGGGGACAGGGAGGGTGGCATGGCCATGGCAGGACACAGAGGGGACAGGGGTGACACTGAAGGATCATGGCATGACCATGGCAGGGGTGACACTGAAGGAGCGTGGCACGACCATGGCAGGACACAGAGGTGACAGGGAGGGTGGCATGGCCATGGCAGGGGTGACAGGGAGGGTGGCATGGCCGTGGCAGGGGTGACAGGGAAGGATCATGGCATGACCTTGGCAGGACACAGAGGGGACAGGGGTGACAGGGAAGGAGCATGGCACGACTCACTGCGGCGGTGGCAGCTTCCTGCTGGGGGAGAACACGAGCGGCGGGTCTGGAAGGCGACGGGGACGTCATCACAACACACACAGAGCGGGACCGTGAGCTGTGACCACACCCCCTGTCCCTCCCTCCCTCCCCTCCTCCCTCCCACCCGGCCCCTCGAGCACCCCCTGCCCCCGGGAGCGCCGGGATTTGGCCGGGATTTTTCCGGGATCACCGGGATTTGGCCGGGATCACCGGGATTTTGCCACGATTTTGCTGGGATTTTGCCGGGATTTTACCGGGATCACCGGGATTTTACCGGGATTTTGCCGGGATCACCGGGATTTTGCCAGGATTTTGCCGGGATCACCGGGATCTGGCCAAGATCTCCGGGATCACCGGGATTTTGCCGGGATCTCCGGGATTTTGCCGGGATCTGGCCGGGATTTTGCCGGGATCCCCGGGATTTTGCCGGGATTTTGCCGGGATCTCCGGGATTTTGCCGGGATTTTACCGGGATCCCCGGGATTTTGCCGGGATTTTGCCAGGATCACCGGGATTTTGCCGGGATCTGGCCGGGATCACCAGGATTTTGCTGGGATCACCGAGATCACCGGGATTTTGCCGGGATTTTGCCGGGATCACCAGGATTTTGCCGGGATCACCGGGATTTTGCGGGGATTTTGCCGGGATCACCAGGATTTTGCCGGGATCACCGGGATTTTGCGGGGATTTTGCCGGGATCACCGGGATTTTGCCAGGATGGGGATCCAGGGGGGTGCGGGATGGCCAGGATCACCGGGATTTTGCCAGGATCTCCGGGATCACCGGGATTTTGCTGAGATCACCGGGATTTTGCCGGGATCACCGGGATTTGGCCAGGATGGCCGGTATTTTGCCGGGATTTTTGCCGGGCTCACCGGGATCAGCGGGATTTTACCGGGATCACCGGGATTTTGCCGGGATTTTGCCGGGATGGGGATCCAGGGGGGTGCGGGATGGCCGGGATCACCGGGATCTGGCTGGGATCACCGGGATCACTGGGATTTGGCCGGGATGGCCGGGATGGCCGGGATTTTGCCGGGCTCACCGGGATCACCGGGATTTTGCCAGGATTACCGGGATCACCGGGATTTTGCCGGGCTCACCGGGATTTTCCAGGATTTTTCCGGGATGGGGATCCAGGGGGGTGCGGGATGGCCGGGATCACCGGGATTTTGCCGGGATGGCCGGGATTTTGCGGGATTTTGCCAGGATCACCGGGATTTTTCCGGGATTTTTCCGGGCTCACCGGTATTTTTCCGGGCTGGGGATGCAGGGGTTACCTTGTCGGCGCTTGCGGCCGCGCGTGGCGCGCCGGCGGTTCATGACGCAGGCGGCCGTGGTGCTGAAGATGACGGCCACGCTGAGGAAGCAGATGCCGCCGATGACCCCGGCCAGCACCGGCTGCGGCAGCAGCTCCGGCAGCTGCGTGCGGGACGGGTACACCTCCATGCCTGGGGGGGACGGGGGATGGACCCTCAGCACCGCGGGCACCGCGGGCACCGCGGGCATCGGGGAGGGGGGGGAGGATTGAGCGTCCCGGGGGGGGTGTGACACCCAAAGGTGTCATCACTGGTGGGGGGAACCCCCAAAGGTGTCACCACTGGTGTGGGGACATGGATTGATGACCCCAATGGTGCCACCACTGGTGTGGGGACATGGATTGACCACCCCAATGGTGCCACAACAGCACCCACTGGTGTGGGGACATGGATTGATGGCCCCAGGGGAGCCACCACTGGTGGGGGGACATGGATTGACCATCCCAGTGGTGGCACCACTGGTGGGGGACACAGATTGATGGCCCCAAAGGTGTCACCACTGGTGTGGGGACACGGATTGACCACCCCAAAGGTGTCACCACTGGTGGGGGGACATGGATTGATGGCCCCAGGGGAGCTGTGACCCCAATGGTGTCACCACAGCACCCACTGGTGTGGGGACATGGATTGATGGTCCCAGGGGAGCTGTGACCCCCAATGGTGCCACCACTGGTGTGGGGACATGGATTGATGGCCCCAGGGGAGCTGTGACCCCCAATGGTGTCATCACTGGTGTGGGGACATGGATTGATGACCCCAATGGTGCCACCACTGGTGTAGGGACATGGATTGATGGCCCCAGGGGGGCTGTGACCCCAATGGTGCCATCACTGGGGTGGGGACATGGATTGATGACCCCAATGGTGCCACCACTGGTGTAGGGACATGGATGGAACACCCCAGGGGAGCTGTGACCCCGGGCCACCTCCTGTCACCTCTTGTCACCTGGGTCACCTCCTGTCCCCTCCTGTCACCTCAGTCACCTCCTGTCCCCTGGGCCACCTCCTGTCCCCTGGGTCCCCTCCTGTCACCGGGTCACCTCCTGTCCCCTCTTGTCACCTGGGTCACCTCTTGTCCCCTGGGTCACCTCTTGTCCCCTCCTGTCCCCTGGGTCACCTCTTGTCCCCTCCTGTCACCTGAGTCAATTCCTGCCACCTGGGTCACCTCCTGGCACCTGGGTCACTTCCTGTCCCCTCCTGTCCCCTGGGTCACCTCCTGTCACCTGGGTCACCTCCTGTCCCCTCCTGTCCCCTGGGTCACCTCCTGTCACCTGGGTCACCTCCTGTCACCTGGGTCACCTCCTGTCCCCTCCTGTCACCTTGGTCACCTCCTGTCCCCTCTTGTCACCTGGGTCCCCTCCTGTCACCTGGGTCACCTCCTGTCCCCTCTTGTCACCTTGGTCCCCTCCTGTCCCCTCCTGTCACCTGGGCCACCTCCTGTCACCTGGGTCACCTCTTGTCCCCTCTTGTCACCTGGGTCACCTCCTGTCACCGGGGTCACCTCCTGTCACCTGGGTCCCCTCCTGTCCCCTCCTGTCACCTGGGCCACCTCCTGTCCCCTCTTGTCACCTGGGTCCCCTCCTGTCACCTGGGTCCCCTCCTGTCACCTGGGTCACCTCCTGTCCCCTCCTGTCCCCTCCTGTCACCTGGGTCACCTCCTGTCCCCTCCTGTCCCCTCCTGTCACCTGGGTCACCTCCTGTCACCTGGGCCACCTCCTGTCCCCTCCTGTCACCTCCTGTCACCTGGGTCACCTCTTGTCCCCTCCTGTCACCTGGGCCACCTCCTGTCCCCTCTTGTCACCTGGGTCACCTCCTGTCACCTGGGTCCCCTCCTGTCACCTCCTGGCACCTGGGCCACCTCCTGTCACCTCCTGGCACCTGGGTCACCTCCTGTCACCTCCTGTCACCTGGGTCACCTCTTGTCCCCTCCTGTCACCTGGGTTCCCTCCTGTCACCTGGGTCCCCTCCTGTCACCTGGGTTCCCTCCTGTCCCCTCCTGTCACCTGGGTCACCTCCTGTCCCCTCCTGTCACCTGGGTCACCTCTTGTCCCCTCCTGTCACCTGGGCCACCTCCTGTCACCTGGGCCACCTCCTGTCCCCTCCTGTCACCTCCTGTCACCTGGGCCACCTCCTGTCACCTGGGCCACCTCCTGTCCCCTCTTGTCCCCTGGGTCACCTCCTGTCACCTGGGCCACCTCTTGTCCCCCCCTGTCACCTGGGCCACCTCCTGTCACCTGGGTCACCTCCTGTCACCTGGGCCACCTCTTGTCCCCCCCTGTCACCTGGGTTCCCTCCTGTCACCTGGGTCCCCCTCCTGTCACCTCCTGTCACCTCCTGTCCCCATTGTATCCCTGGGTCCCCTCCTGTCCTGTCCCCGTGTCCCTTGCTGTCCCCTCCTGTCCCCTGTGTCCCCTCCCTGTCCCCCCCATGTCCCCATGTCCCTGTCCCCATGTCCCCATGTCCCTGTCCCTGTGTCCCTGTGTCCCTGTGTCCCCCCATGTCCCTGACCTGCCGTGGAGATGTTGACGGCGTTGCTGGGGTCGCTGATGGAGCTGCCAGCCCTGTCCCCATGTCCCTGTCCCCATGTCCCTGTCCCCATGTCCCCATGTCCCCATGTCCCTGTCCCTGTCCCCATGTCCCTGTCCCTGTCCCCGTGTCCCCTGTGTCCCTGTCCCTGTCCCCATGTCCCCATGTCCCTGTCCCCATGTCCCCCCCATGTCCCCATGTCCCTGACCTGCCGTGGAGATGTTGACGGCGTTGCTGGGGTCGCTGATGGAGCTGCCAGCCCAGTGTCCCCTGTGTCCCCCCCATGTCCCCATGTCCCTGTCCCTGTGTCCCCATGTCCCTGTCCCTGTGTCCCCCATGTCCCTGACCTGCCGTGGAGATGTTGACGGCGTTGCTGGGGTCGCTGATGGAGCTGCCAGCCAAGGCCACCAGGCGGAACTCGTACAGGGCGTCCTGGAGGGGGAGAGAGAGGAAAAGACCCCAAAAATGCCATGAATTGACCTCCCTGCCCCAAAAATGCCATGAATTGACCTCCCTGTCCCAAAAATGTCATTAATTGACCTCCCTGCCCCGAAAATGCCATGAATTGACCTCCCTGCCCCAAAAATGCCATGAATTGACCTCCCTGCCCCAAAAATGCCATGAATTGACCTCCCTGCCCCAAAAATGTCATTAATTGACCTCCCTGCCCCAAAAATGCCATGAATTGACCTCCCTGCACGGGGACTCGGCACTTCCAGCTTTCAAGGTCAATTAATTACAGGGGTTTAAAGGTTAATTTGAACCCAGTTTTTTAAAAAATCATTTTCAGAGGTGCTGGCTCAGAGAGCGGATTTTCTCCTTTTTTTAATGATTTTCGGGTTTTTAAATTTTGTTTTTGGTTTAAATT